TGTGTGTGTGTCTCTAACATCAGCTCCAGATGTGTGTGTGTGTCTCTAACATCAGCTCCAGATGTGTGTGTGTGTTTCTATAACATCAGCTCCAGATGTGTGTGTGTGTTTCTATAACATCAGCTCCAGATGTGTGTGTCTCTAACATCAGCTCCAGATGTGTGTGTGTCTCTAACATCAGCTCCAGATGTCTGTGTGTCTCTAACATCAGCTCCAGATGTCTGTGTGTCTCTAACATCAGCTCCAGATGTGACCCACCTGAGTTTGGCGGTCCTGAGGATCCTGGTGAGAGAGACACAGTTTCCCTCCATCAAACCTTTACCCACTGTGGGAGTGGAGCTCTTCCTGCAGGCTGAATACAGAGAACAGGCCAACCAGTGGACCACCTCTCCCTGTATGAACACATAATATTAATATGAATAAATAAACAGAGAACAGACCAGTTTACAAGCTCACAAACACAAACGTTTGCACATCAACAGGAGCCAGAAGAGCTGCTTTAACAGTCAACACAGTGAAACATCTGGAGAGTGAAACACAGACGCGAGCCACCTGGACAACAACACCTGTGTGAGAATGCTGTTCATCGATTTCAGCATTCAACACCATCCCCCCCTCCAACTGATCACCAAACTAGGTGACCTCGGCATCAATCTCCCTCTGCAGCTGGATACAGCTGGTGGTATCACAAGCAACTTACTCCAGCACCTCAGCAGAAAACGTGTGTTGGAATACCAAGAGTGTGTAACGGTCATTTTTTACGTAGTATATATTTCTACTCAGTATATTGTATTAATGCATGAGCAATTTTGCTCTGGACTTTGTTGAACTTTACTGCGTCTCTGTTGTGGAGAATAATTCTCCCTCTCTGCTCCTAAAGATAACTAACTGTGTTGTGTGAGAGAGTGTTCCAGCACCAAGGCCTCTGGGCCGCTGGTTTTGGTTGCTGGCCGTTTGTTTTCAGTCTGAGACCAACATGTCTGTAACATCGGCCCACCGTTGCTCATTCTGTATAGAGAAAGCTTGTTCACTTTTTTCTTGGTTCTTCCTCACTGAGACTGAACGCATTCTGTTGGGATGATTGAACCTTCTCTAAGCAGAGAATAAATACTTAAAAGACAATCTGGTTTTGGTATTATGTATTTCAGCCTTAAAGACTCACGCAAAGCGGGTTTAGGAATATTTTCCACAACAAGTGTGATGACGGCCGTCAACCAGTAACGTTAGCGCGAGTGAAACAGTGAAGCCAAAGGGTCACACATCGCTTGAAGAGGCATTAGCTCGAGGCTGCATATGACAAGAAAAGCAAGCGGTGGAGCGACATTACGAACGCAATAACGATCCAGCTCTGCAAGGACCTGGTCCCGCTACAGACAGTGGAGAAAGACTCAGAGCAATGATTAAAACACTGGATTCAAGGTACGTCTGACCGGGGCGACAAACTTCAGCCAAACTGCTATCCCAACATTAGTGGAACAAACGAGCACCCCCTCTAGTAAGCAAAGCCTTCATACATGAAGACATTAACATGTTTGTATATTCTATGTACTCCTGACAGTAGTGAGCCTCTATAAACATATAGAAAAACACAGTCAAGGGAAAAAATAATACCGTGAAACCGTCAGAATCTTAAAAAGTACCGCGATACAAATTTTTGGTCGTACCGCCCAGGTCTAGGTCCAGCACTACAAGGAGGTTATTGTGGACTCCAGAAAGCCCAAAGGCTGCACACACAGCACCATCCACATCAATGGAACGGAGGTTGAGCGTGTCCATATCTCAGAGGACCTCTCTTGGACCCTTAACCTTGGTCAAGAAGGCACACCAGCGTCTCTTCTTCCTGAGGAGACTGAAGAAAATCCACACGTCTCCTCTGATCCTGGTGTACTTCTCCCGCTGCACCATCGAGAGCATCCTTACAAGCTGCATCACAGTTTGGTATGGCAACTGCTCTGTCTCAGACCGGAAAGCACCGCAGAGGGTGGTAAAAACTGCCCAACGCATCACCGGAACTCCACTTCCTGCCATCGAGACCGTCCCCCTCAAGCGCTGCCTGTCAAGGGCGAGCAGCATCGTCAGGGACTCCTCACACCCCGGCCATAGACTGTTTGCCCTCCTCCCCTCTGGGAGGCGCTATAGGAGTCTCTGTTCCAGGACCAGCAGGCTCAGGAACAGCTTCTTCCCCTCAGCTGTCACCCTAATAAACTCTGCACCACGGTCTCAGACGTTACTACAGAACGTTACTGGAGGACTCACCTCCAGAGTGTAGGTGTTCCAGATGTT